AGTCAATTGCTTGAAGTAGTCAATAAAAATGCAAATGAGGTGGATCAACTCCGACAGTCTTTAAGTAGACCAGTAGGGCAGTCAAGAGCATTGCCATTAGATGGCACAGGCCTAACGCCTACTAATAGTGTTCTTTCTCCCGCTGGTGGTCGGAATGGCCAACCACGGCAAGAGAACTTGCCGCCTCAAACGGCAAGCCAACCACCTCCATGTCGAGTAGGTGAGGTCGAGATTCCTGATACAACTCAAGTGGGGGAATCGTCACAGGCACGCGTGGGAGTTGAAGTGGTACCCCCGCGTGGTGAGAACCTCGCCACCATGTTCAACACTCGAGTTGAGCAGCCACCCGTGCAAGTGGGTGCTCGTCCCTCTATCCCGGAGGCAAGACCCTTTGTGGCTCCCATGAATTTGTGGGTAGGAGGAGGCATAGGTGGTAACATGGATCAAATCCCACCTCGAGGCTACCCAACTCCAACGCCACCCCATTTCAATGGGCATGGCATAGATCCCATTGGGTTTGTACCATATAGGGGGCAACAAGGGGGGCATGAGGCCAACACTCTTAGGGATCAGGTGGCTCAACTCCTCACGGAGCAGTTTGGCATGGGAGTGAGACCTGCTATGCCACCTGTATACCGTAAGTCGTACCCAGAATGGGTAGATAGACTTTACCCATTTCCAAGGGGATTCAGAGTTCCCGAGTTTGCCACATTCACAGGGACTGGAGATCAGTCCACTGTAGAGCACGTTGGACGTTTCACGGTCCAATGTGGCGATTTAGGAGATTTTGTTAAGTTAAGACTATTTGGAAACTCGTTGACAGGACCAGCTTTTGCTTGGTACGTCAACCTGTCGTCTAACTCCATCCAGACTTGGCAACAGATGGAACAAGTCTTCCACGCTCAGTTTTACAGATCTGAGCCCGAGGTGTCCATGGCTGACTTGGCACGTATGCGCCAACAACCAGGGGAATCGGTTGAGCATTTCTTGACTAACTTCAAGAATGCCCGTAACCGTTGCTTTGTTAATTGACGGAGAGGGAGTTCGTCAAGCTGGCGCAAGGGGGTTTGAGTTTTGAACTAAGGAAGAAATTCCAAGATAGGGAGTTCTCTTATTTATTTCAACTCATGTCTTGTGCTGTGAAGTATGAGTCTCTTCTACATGAGGAAGAGAATCGTAGGAGTGCATCAAGGGGATCATACTTCCCAAATTTAGACTATACCATCAATCATATTGGCCACGAGGCCAATGAGGTTGAGGTAGACTTGGCTGAGATAACTCCAGGGAAGCCATACATATGTGCTTCTTTGTCTAAAGTCGAAGAGGGACCACAAGGGGGAAGACCTAATCGGGCTCCCATTCAGCCAAGGAAGTATTCCTTTGACGTCTCCAAGGCAGACTTGATTTTTAACCAACTCTATAAGGATGGTCAAGTCAAGTTGAGAGGGAGGCGTGTCTTTCCCTCACCCGAGAAATTAAAAGGAAAAAATTATTGTAAGTGGCATAATAGCATGTCACATGCCACTGATGCTTGTGTGGTGTTCTGTAATGTCTTGCAGGATGCCATTGAAAAGGGACGTATCAAGTTCCCTGAAGCAAAGAAGGATGCCATGTTGGTGGACACTGATCCGTTCCCCAATGTGCTTGGCATCAACATGGTCAACCCAGACTTCTCCAAAGTCGAGTTACCACGCTTCAAGCTGGTGTTGGATACAACACCGCCTCAAAGGAGACCCAACGTGGTTTTCGACCAAGGAAGCTCATCATGTACCAAGCAGGCCAGCCTGGCCGCAATGATGACTGATGAAGTTGAGAATTTGTGTGCTCATTGCAAGAAGAGTTTTAAGGTTGACGAAGAGAAGTCGAGATGTCCATCTAGGGGGAAGGTGGTTTCCAAGAAGCCACATCAACCCAAAGCCTCACATGTTTGTGATAAATATGATAATATGGCTAAGTCTGGACAAGAAAGCATGCCACCAACCACAAACAGTGGACATGGGGGCAAGTCCAACAAGGAAAGACGTAGAAAAGGCAGAAAGAGTTGTCACAGTCTCGCAAATTTTGCTAAGTCTGGACAAGGGAGCATTTCACCCACCATGAAGAATGAAGTAGACCACATCTCCAGGAAGACAAAAGAAGTCAAACCCTCACATGGATTTTGTAAGCATGAGATTATGGACAAGGGAGGATTGGGGGGCAAGTCCATGTCAATGAATAGTAAGTACTCGTCACTAACCATAAAGAGTGTACATGGGGGCATGTATAAGAAGTCACCATATACCCCAGCCAAACATGGCTGCACAAAGAATCAATGGTGGTTGAGTGCTAAGTGTAGGGGCCAACAAGGTTTATATATTGAAAGACGAAGACAAAGAAGCTACACGAGTGGTTGTCAACTTGTCAAGCCTAGACCTGGTCCCCAACATCGTGAGGAGATTAAGCATTTATCAAGTGGGAGGAAATCAAGGCAGAAGAATAATCATGATAGCCTTGACATGTCAAGTAAGGTGGCCCAAGCAAAGAAGCATGAGGCCGCCACCAAAACTAGACATGCTCACTATGTACCACCCATTAGTAAGCTACAAAATTCAAAGTTAATGTATGAAGATTCATCTCCCATGGAGGAAAAGAGTCATGTGGTCTATGGATGGCATGTCTGGTTTGATCCATGGACTTGGCAATGGGTGTACACCTTTGGTACATTGATTGTTGCCAAAGGCTATGGAGAGCAGTGACATTTGTCACTTCTTGCCATATAAAATAAATAAATTTATATAATGTACTTATTATATATTAGTTAAATAAAAAAAATTATTGTAGCCAACCATGGCTAAAAGAAAAGATAGAAGGAAAATATCAAAGTGAAAATCTTGAGTCGGAATTGTTAGACTTCGACATGAAGATCTTGCCACCAAGTTATTGTGATGGCTTGACACGACGAGCCATTCATCAGGCCATGCCATGGCATGTTATCTTGTCCCGAGTAGCCACGGCTGGGGGGCATGATGGCTTGAAAGTGGTAGTAGAGGAGTGGTGACCATAATGTCTCTACCAACATAAAAATGAACATTATTTTTTCTAAGGCAAAAAAGTAGACGGCTTGACTTGTCGCGAGGGAACTGTCTAGCCTTGTGACGAGGTGGGATGAGCCAATCTATGCCAAAATAGGTGCGAAAAATTCTAAGTTATTCTCTCAACCATGTGGCCAAGTACGAGATGTCAATGAGGGTGTAGGTGATAAAGTGAAGTTGGTGTCTCGTTGAATGCATTAGGCGGCTTGACCATTAAAAGCCAAAATTTGGCTACGGCATGAGACAAGTTTTGACGTCGAGTACCATCCTACCGTGTTGGCTTGACGTGAAAGCCAAATTTTGGCTAAGGACGAACTAGGTGTGTTGAGTAGACACTAGCCATCTTGTTACTTTCGCTAGCATGGTGGTGTTCAACTACTTAGTCCATAAGCCTTATGCACTAAGTAGTTGGGGGGGGGGGGGGGCATTTGTTTACACCATAAAATTTGTCTTGTACCACATTGTTGAGTTACAAGATAATTATTGAGTTTATAAGGCCACACCCATTATAACAATTAATGTTGTTTCAGTTGGGCCTTATGGATATTGATTTTAAGCCCAAGTCACTAAGTCTAAAGAGGGACATGCCGCCTCATCAAACAGAGTCGCGTCCGTATGAAATCTAGAGAACATGCCGCCTCAACGAAGAGGCCATGCCGCCTCACAAATAAGACCGAAGGAGTGAAAATTTAACTAAGTCTGGAAGAGGTACATGCCGATTCACGGAGAAAGACATGTCGCCTCATCAAAGAAGAACACGTCCATCTAGAATATAGACACACATGTTGTCTCAAGGAAGGCCCGGTATGATAAAAAATATTCTAAGTATGAGAATATAGGGCCATGTGGGTGATTAAGAGGTCCATGGCCGTGTCATATGTGACGGCCATGGACACGAGACAAGAGGACCTGGGCACGTGAAAAATACTAAGTAGGAGGAGGCCAATGCCGTCCAACGGAAAGGGCCACAGACATGAATGAGAAGTCCATGGTCGCGAATAAAAAGGCAATGCCGCCTCATGATCTAAACCAAACAACCGAAAATATTCTAAGTATAGGGAAGGACTTGCTGCTTCATGGGGGAGGCCATGTCCATGATTGAGAGGTCCATGGGTGCAAATAAGAGGCCATGCCATATGATAATTCTGAGAGGCCATGCCGTGTCACGAGAGGGGCCATGGACGCAAGGCCGCGAATCACACTTCAAAGAAGACAAAGATATTCTAAGTGTGGAGAAGGACTTGTCGCTTTAACCAGGAGGGTCATATCCCTCTAGAGATCGAGAAGGTCATGCCGTGTCACAGGATGGGCCACGAGCATGAATGAGAGGTCCATGGCCGTTAGACAAGAAGGCCATGGACATGAGTAAGAAGTTCATGGCCGTAAGACAAGAAGGCCATGGACATGAGTAAGAAGTTCATGGCCGTAAGACAAGAAGGCGATGGACATGAGTAAGAAGTCCATGGCCGCGAGGCAAGAAGACCACGACCCCCTTTGTGAGATACCACATGCTTATCAAAAGACTAGCATGACACGAGATTCAGAACAAGACTAGGCGAGGCAAGCTACACTCCAAGACCTACGACGGTTACACGAGAGGCCCCTAGGCAGTTGAAGGAGTAACCACCACTTCGAGGAAGCAGGGAGCGGTTCTTTTTGGAAGTTATCCAAGAGGCGGTTTTCTACCGTAGAAGGGGGAGCGGTTCTTAGTAGCAGTTATCCAACAAGCGGTTTTCTATGGCGGTTACCTCCTCGGGGCTATAAATAAGAGGAGGGGTCGACAGAGACAAAGGTTCCAAAACCAACACTCTGACACACATGTCAAGTTTATCCTTTACCTTTTCTCTATCATGTAGCCATAGATGTAGTTCGTAGTTTGGAGCTCTCGCCGAACCTCCATAGGAGTAGAAGTAATTTAATTTAGATCTCGTTCCCAAAAAACCATCAATCGAACACCCTCGTTCGAACTTTGTTTGAAGAGGTGTGAGCCGTGTTTAGTGATCGTTGTCCAAAGAAGTCAAAGGTGCAATCCATCTCAATTCAACGCTAGTTTTCTCGCCGGAAAACAATATTAAATTGTAAACAGTGACATTAATGGATAATTTTACTAGGCCAACCTCTTTTTCTTATGAAAACTTCAAAATAAATCACCCCACTAAGTAACGGGAGTATTTAGCCAGCAACGTGGTAACTAGAACCCTGTACGTCTTTTCAGTAGGATGATAACTATCCCAAAACACATGTGCATTGATATTGGAGCAAGGCGGAGTGAGCTTATTGCACAAGATGGACACCTCGAGTACTCCTGTTCCACAACATCCTTTCTCCGAGATTTCAAACCCTGAAAACAAACCATGAACACAAATTTGGTCAATCTCTCATTCTCCCTTCACAATCACTTATTATGCATGATAACGACATCCTAATGACCTATAACGAAAGTATTTCATTACCGTATTTTTTAGGGGTTTGAATGATTTGTAACAAGGGAGTGTAGACATCGATGAAGACAACCCTTGAATTTGATAAGGTTTGACCAAGCGAATTCAACTTCGATTTCAACTTGGAGTTGAAAAGAATGGCTGCTTGGTTTCTATCATCGGCACAGTCCCTCAAAAGCCCGCCTCCCACAGTTCTTTGCGATGGCACACACCCAATTGGCGGCGCACTGAACACCCCAATCTTTCTCGCCCCGGACTTGTACAATTCCTGTTGAGGAAACAAAAGGTGGATTTTGTAATATTTTTATATTAGTATACATCAAAGTCGTGTGACACACTGTGAAATACTAAAAAATGTCAAATAGACTATGTGTTTCGAGAACGCACTTGAACAAAATTCGAAGCAGAATCAGACATAAGGCTGGTATAACTAGGAATGTCATAGTTACTCCTCGCTCGAAGAAGGAAGTAAGTGTTCGCGATGTCGTCACTTCCAGCAACCACTAGATACACTGCATTGCCTAGGATGAAATGGGTCCTCTTTTCTCCAACCATGGATTTCACCTTGGCAGTGTATTCTTTGAAGTATCGGAGTTGTTGGCTCAATGACAAAACTGACTGTATTGTTTGGAACATAACGGATTAAATAGCATGAAAACTTGTTAGTAGATCAATTATTCAGCACTAGACATTGGAAACGAAAGGACTTTTAAAGTACCACTAATTTTGCTGTTATGGGGTCGAATCCAGCGCCTGCTGAAGCAAAGGAGACTCCAGTTAACAGATCTTTGGGCTGTAGGCTTGGGTCCAAATATGCTGGAACGCTGCCTTTGATTCCCAATTCTTCAGCTGTTAGTTAGGGTGGGAAATTAAAAATTTATGAATTTAACGAATAAGGATACCTAGTAAATATCCATAAAATTAAATGGAGAAAGGTGAAAGAAATTATATATATAAAAAAAAAACTGAAAGATTGTGATATGTATCATGTATGTGAGGTTTGGGTATATGAGCCAAGACGATGAAAGCCTAATCAGACTGAAATAAAATGTGGGCCTAACGAAAATTGATGGCCCTAATTAAGATGAATAATGAAGTCCAACAACCAGAGAGAGCAGCCTGCACTGCTGAGGCAATTGGGCCATCCCCAAGTCCCCCTACAGAACTAATGGGTCAATATGAAATTTAATATTTGGCCCAACTGTTCAGCGCAGTACCACTACCACCTTAATCTAACTAGGCTGTCCACAATCTTTACCCAAATTAACCCCAATTTACTTCTCCAAACTAACCATCAACATAAAACTATTTTTAAGCACACATATAATTTCTTTTTTAGGAAGTAAGAATATGTATACTTCCAGTTACAGACTCCAAATTAAGAATATTCTTCATTTCCTACTGAAAATTTGAAATTAGTATAAATGTATAATCAATTAGATCACAGGATCACATCCTAAAACATCATTTATTTAGGGCTCGCGGACATATATTCGATGCACCTTAGGTATACATCAACATAAATTATACGATATGCATATGTAAGAACCCAAAATTAAGAGTACACGATAGATTTTTATTCTGCTCGAATTAACTTCACGGATAACAACTTGACCAGAACATTAAGGTGTAACAATTCTTTCGATTTCAATTATGATGATGGGGTTGGACCCATGAAGAAAATAACAGGTTTTCTATTGAGATGGGGTCCTAACATTCATTCACCAAGAAGAGTAACAAATAAAAGTACGTATTCGATTTAACACATTAATGAAACGATGCGGGAAAGAAAGCTGTTGTTAAAATTAGGTTAAAACTATCATATAACAATTAACAACAAAATCTCACTAACATGTCATTTTTTGTAGCATCGTTATTTTTCTGATGTTGTATTTGAAAAATAATGTATCAAATAACCGTGAAAACCATCCAAATTAAAGTAAGATGAAAATATGATAATTACAATAAGTTAAATACTTTAGTGCGTCTCGAGGCTAAGAAGAAATGTGATACACAAAATTCAAATAACTCGTTCAAAACTTCATATTTAACTCATCAAAAGTTAATTATGCTAAAAATAAGAATTAGTTTACAATTCATAAAAAAAATACTTTACGTAATTGATGTTGGCCAATTACGTAATTGAACTTAACATTTCGAAACAAAATTCTTGCCTTTTGAAAGCTCATCATGAGTCATAAGGTCAAAACTTTTGAGATTGAAACAAAAGAGATAGCAGAGTGTGATTATATTATATATACCGATGATATCGGAGGGAACCTTGCCGTCGCAGAACCTGCCGGTGGGACCGCCGGTGAAATCCACACCGTAGGGCTGGAAGTTGGCCTTGACGACGGTGGCCAGGTTGTTGTTGTTCCCGGTGTCCATGATCGAGTCTCCGAAAATGAAAATCGCCGGCACGGTGACGTTCGCCGGAAGCCTCGCCCTTGAAGCAGCGACGACGCTTAGCAACGCCGTCAGGAACAGAAACGGCGCCAAGGGAGACGGAAAAGAATGGCGTTTGAGAGGACCCATACGTTCTTTTCTTTTCTTTGCGTCGCTGTAGCCTGTAGATACGACCTTTCGTGACGGAAACGTGAGTTTCTGCCTTTTTAGAGTTGAGTGAGGTGCTTCTGTGTTTCTTGTTTGGCCTGGCTGAGTGTTATATATATAATGTACGGGGAAAGAGGAATAAGGAAATGGAAGGGAGACGGCCGAGCGAGCTGCACGCATTAAATAAATTATGGCGTCGGCAACAAAATATTGATATGGCCTCATTTCCACCCCCAAAACAAAAACTTGTGCGTAAGGCATAATATATATCTTATGGAAATATGTTGGCGCTACGTTGCAAGAAAAGATATTGCAACGAGATTTTCAAAATTCAAATATATATATGGTAAGCAATATATCATATTTCAAGTGGTTGGATCGTTGGATTTATTTCGTTGAACTTCGGGAAATTAGATTTGTCAATTATGATTTTTTTATTAAATTGATCATTTTTTTATAATGGCTTATTTAATTGATCTTTACATTTGGGTTTAGAGAATCAAGGTCTGGTGTTTATCCATTAAAGATTAGTGCATAGTATTATGGACTAAATTCAATTTAATTCATGCTCTAGAAAGAGACAACTCACTAGGAGTACCCGAAGTATCGTATTCTCTAAGAGTATAACCGCCTGGCCCATTTATGGTAATGAATTGTGTAATCCTAGTATGACCGTTATATGTACTTCATTGTACTTTAGTGAATCAGAATCGTTGATTATATTATTATTTTATATTAAATTGATCTTCGGGTTTGGAATAAGAAATTGGGGATTGAGGTGTATCCATTAAAATTTTGGGGATAATACCATCTTTTAAATTTGATTTAATTCATAATCTAAATAGAGATATCTCCCTAAAAGTACTAAGCATGTCTAGCTTAATAAGTTAGCTAGTTTTGTTGTATACCTAAACTTTAAAGAGTGACAATAAAATAATAATGTAGTACTCTATTGAGTCTTGAGTAACCTTTACCATGAATGAAGTTTGGGCACTTAATACAAGGGTGTATATAATTTATTAGTCAAATCTTTCAAATTTTTTAAATTATTAGCCAAAATTTTCAAAATATAAAATAGCCAATATAATTTCCAGTTAACAGTTTTATTAGTAATATCGATTTGGCAACATGATATTGATTTGGAAGAGATATTTGAAATTCAACATCTAAAATTTTAGAATTTTAACTAAGAAAAGAGTTATAAAATTACAATTGAAAACAAACAAATAGAAATTGTTAATATTTTTATTAGATACAAAAGATTTGATTAATATTCTGTATTTCAAAAAAATTGGCTAATAATTTGAAATTTTTGGCTTTTATGTATTAGGCATAATAGTTGAAAACTTGATATCATGGAGATGTAAAAATGACTATCAATTGTTATATTCATAAAATGCTGGATAGTCCATCTAAATAACACGAACACCTTAGGCTTTCATGAAATCCACATCTTCTGCAAGTTTCGAACACAAGATAAATAACTAATAACTCAATTTGAGTTATTGGTCTGCAGTAACCCTTCAGAAACCTTTCTTAATTACAAGTGTGTACAATGCCTCTTGACTCTTACCAATGGTCTAGTTCATATAGACTTAATGAGACTATCTTTTAGTTTTTTTATAATGCTGATTAAGAGACTATCTTTTAGTTACGTTGGACTTGAATGTCATAGACTTAAATCCAACATATATTGAATTTGATGAAATCTATTGTTCTGCGCTATAAATAGTGGGTTGAAGAGTTATTTTTTAATTCCAAATCACTAGGTCCAATGAATTTTGAAATCTCATTTCAATAGATAGGAAAATCTTCATTTACATATCCATTTTGTTTTTATGCAGACACATCACAGCAAGAATGTAAAGGCAAGGGTTCTAGTGATTACTTGGGAAGTTTTGTAGTTATCTGGTTATACTGATGGTTGTGCATATGTGTTTTTCTGCAGATTGTTGTAGCAGTTTTTCTGAGATAATTCAAATATGCGTATATGTGTATTTGATGAATATATGTATTGTAAATACAAAAATTGCAAGAATTAGATGATTGGAAGAATGTCCTGTTTGTTTGTAGTCATTCAAAATTTTTAAGGAAAAAAAAAATCACTTTATGAGCTAAAAGTTGAACAAATTAAAGCCCACAATCTCAAAAGAAGAATCTCACATTTTTGTTGAGATTTAAAATGAGTAATTGTAGTTGATATGAGATTTGAGGGGATCAATGATAGTTAGGATAACTCAAGGAAAGCAAGTTGCGGAAAAAAAAAAAAAATTTGTCGAATGCTCTGTCCTCTCTCCTATGGAAAATCGTAGGAGCAATCCGAGCAAGCTTCCTCATCGTCTGCATTTGGTTTTCAAAGGATGAAGCCATGGAGGGATTAACGATGATGGTGCGGTGGATCCAGGAAGGAGTATTGAAACAGTGGGTCGGTTTAAGGCACACTGATGGTCCTATGCTGCACACGGTGGAGATGCAACGCTGGCTGGAAGACGCACGGGGCGGGGAAGTTTTGATGAATGAGTTTCAGTCGAAGCGGACTGGTGTACCTCGAATGGAGGTTATGGACCAAAAATGGTGCCAGTGGATATCGAAAGTGGTATCATTAGTACAAAATAGTTCTCAAAAAAGGCGGCCAACCATACAACCAGATGGGGTTTGGGGCCGGATTGATGACCAGAGCGTAAATCTGGTGACCGGCGATGGTGATCGGGCTTTGGAGTTGACACTCAACGGTTGGCGGAGAATCCGCAGTACCCGATTTGTTGGGGATCTAGAGAATATTGAAAATTTGAATTTTGTAATCCGGAGGAAGATTTACCTCAACTGAAATCAGGTGGGGGGTTGGGATAATGATCAAATTAATTCCGCGTGTTCTGTTACACAAATAGACCCAATGGTAATCCTACAGGATGTGACCAGGTTCCATGCTTGGGGTAGGACTCTTGGAGTCCCTATATATTTGGCCGAATTACTCAGCAGCCTAATCGCACAAAAGAAATACAAAGGCTGGCTAGTGAATTGCCTACAGAGATTGAGAAATTTCCGAGTGCTTACTTCCTCAGTGAGTTTGAGTGTGGGTGCCTCAGAACCAAAGAGTTATTCCGAACAGCTGGAGGTGTGCATAATGGCAGAGTCGAACATTTGCCAAGACCAAATAGTGGAGTTCTCAGCTGAAGATGTTGCTGTGAGCATGCAGAGGGCGAAAATGAGCTTGCTGGGGAGACTCTTCATTGAGAATCGGCCGAGCCTTTCGGTTATCCACAAAATTGTTTCGAATGCGTGGGAATGCCGGAAGAAGGTGCAGGTGTTGGAAGCGGAGATGGGACTTCTCCAATTCCTGTTTGATGATGCTGAGGATATGGAATGGGTTTTGAAGCGGACGCCCTGGCCGGTGAAGGATCGAGTGCTACAGCTCCAACGATGGGCTCCGATCACTGACGAGGTGTACGATTCCCTTGGTTTTGCGCCATTTGCGGTGAAAATGTGGGGAATCCCATCCCATTGCCGCACCATTGCTTTTGGAAGAAGAGTGGCGGAGATGAAGCTCGGTGAGGTGATGGATGTCGGGCTGTTCGGCATCAAAGGAGAAGCGGACCAGTTTATCAAAGCTCGGGTGAAGATAAACGTGCTAGAGCCGCTTCGATCGCAGGTCTGGGCGAGTAATGAAATTGCTGGGAAGTTCTGGGTGACTTTTGCCTATGAGTTCCTCCCCCTGTTCTGCTTTCACTGTGGCAGATTGGGGCATATGGAAAGGAATTGTGTGTTCCCGGCGCCGATTGGAGAGGAGAGATTCAGCCAAGAAATGGCGACTACAGAGGTGAGATTTCGGCTCAATGAAGATACTTTTAAGGCGGCACAATTCAATGCCCCACCGCTGCCCCAGTCTGTGTGGGTTAATCCCAAAACAAAAGGGAATCTCAGCGGTAATTCGGCGACGGTGCGCGGGGAGAAGCGGAAGCCGGAGGAGAAGGGGACTACGCGGGAGTCGGTGTTGGCTCTCCCAGCGGGTGGTGTTTGCGAGCCAAAGGGACCTCAGGGGAAGGTGCAGGGGCATGGGGCTCAGGCGGTGGAGTTGGGGAGTCGACCGAAATCGGCACGGCAGGGCAAGGGCTCAGCTCCCAGTGCTCGAGGGAAGCCCCCGTCGACCAATGGGGGGCGGGCGGAGCTGGCGGTGAAGGAGGTGGGGGAAGGTGTGAAGGACGGTGGGAAAGGGAAGCAGAGGCGGGCGGTGGGGACTGGAGAGGAGAACGGCGCCGACCAGAGGCTGCCTCGCGTGGTGGGAGGGGCGAAGGTGGACGGGAAGCTGACGGTGGACCAGACTATGGGTGCGGGCCTTGGGGCTAAGGGAGATGGCCCAGTGCTTGTGGGTAATAGGCTGAAGTCGGCCCAGATGGAGGATGCAGCAGCTGGGAATGGGCTTGTGGCCCAGAGCAGTGAGAAGGCTGGGAATGGGCCTGCGGCCCAGACTAGTGAGGAGGCTGGGATTGGGTCTGCGGCCCAGACTAGTGAGAAGGCCATGGATAAGAACGCTGGTTCACTCAAGGGAGACCCAATGGTGTTAGTGGTGGAGAAGCAGGCTGGGGGCGAGAAGGTAGTGATGGGTGACGCGATCACAGCGGTCGCTGATGAGTATGGGTCTAATTTGCCCAAGTTATCGGAGGTTTTCAGGATGGCGGTTGCGGAAGAGGAGCTAAAGGATCGAAAGCGATCGGCAGACGTGGTGGAGGATCTTCCGCGGGATCCCACCCCAACAAAGAAGATTTGCGCGGAGAAGATAGGCCAGGAGCCAGGAAAAGCGGTGGAGGTAGCCAGCCCGAAATGGCCCCATTCGATCAAATGAGGCTTCTTTCGTGGAACGTGAGAGGGATTGGGCCGTCCCTCACGTTCCAGTCGCTGTTAGGGCTAGTTAGAGTCAATTCTCCGGATTTGGTTTTCTTGTCGGAGACTAGATCTCGTCGTAAAGTTGTCACTCGTCGTATGCGAGGGTTAGGGTTTGATGTTGATTCTTGTTTTCTTGTTGATGCCGTTGATATGTCTGGCGGCTTAGCGGTAGGGTGGTCCCCGAGCATTGATGCCTCGGTTTTGTCTTGTTCGTCCTTTTTTATTTCTCTTCGTATTAATAATAATATGGGTAGTCCGTATGTGGTGGTGTGTGTTTACATTAGTTATGTTGAGGCTGTGCGGAGAGGGCAATT